AACATAGCTGTTTCTGAGCAATGTGGTTCTATAAAGTAGAAGGCGTAGGGCTGGGGCTGTATTTGTACTCATCTTTACTTTACGAGTGTGTGTGTGATGTGTTGTGGGTGTGTGGTTGCTGCTATACACAGCTGGGTAGCTGGGCTGTGAGCTTCTAGCCACATGCCTACTTAACCTAGAAGTAATGAGAGTACAGATTTGTATTACTCTAGCCATATTTTATGTGGCTTCTGGGATTTTGATGCAGGTCCGTACAGTTGTGTGGTAAGTGCTTTGCCCAGGGTCTGCTAATAAGATAGTTAAAGTTGAGGGAAGAGGTAAATTTTATTTTATTTTATATTTTTGGTTTTTCGAGACAGGGTTTCTCTGTATAGCCCTGGCTGTCCTGGAACTCACTCTGTAGACCAGGCTGGCCTCGAACTCAGAAATCCACCTGCCTCTGCCTCCCAAGTGCTGGGATTAAAGGTGTGTGCCACTACTGCCCGGCGAGGTAAATTTTAAATTAGCTGTTACTTAAGGCATACTTGTTTGTTTTACTTTATGTAATTTTGGTGTTCTAGGATTAAATAAAAGACTGATACCATGCCAGGTGTGACACATACCTGTAGTTCCAGCTACTTGGGAGGCCAGGAAGTAACTGTGTTCTTGGCCAGTGTAGTAGTATTTGGTCTTGTCAGGTGAGGTGGAGGTATTTTACAAGTTACATCATTTTAAGTTGGCCTGAAATTCCTCTTAGCAGGAAGTATTCCACTATAAGTTTTCCACTTACTTTTGTTTTTTGACAGAACACATTGGAACCTTAATTTTTTAGCTTAAAGAATTCATATTTTAGCTTTTTAAATTTCAGGTACCTTTATCAGGATTTCCATATAAATATTTTTTAAATGGGGTAAAATAAGGACAGGCATGGTGACACATCCCTAGAATCCTATTGCATGTTGAGCCTTTGTCTGTGAAAGGGTTAGGGGGGATGCGCATGGCAGCTCACACCTTAAATCCCAGCACTGAGGCGGCAGAGGCAGACAAACAGGCAGATCTCTGAGTTCAAGGACATTCTTATTCTAGCTACAAATCGGAGACCAGCCAGAGCTATACGGTGTGATTCTATCTCGAAAAGTAAAAAGAGGCCAGGACCAAGCAATTCATGTAGAGCCTAGAGCATAAGGGTATCATTTAAGAACATTTCCAGACTCTTGAAACCTTGGTTCTCTTTAGAGATTCAGAACATGGTTCGAAAGCAAGGCTTTTGTGAAGAGTCTGGTATGACGTCTCTTTTTGTCTGTCCTCTAGCTGCTGTGATTGGAACCCGGCTGCATGCTGCTGTTGCTGTTGCCTGCATCGTAATGGCCTTTTACGTCCTGTTTATCAAATGAATTCCAGACCATCGAGCTCATCCATCCACTGCCAACCAAGGGGATAAAGATGAAGAACTTGTCGGAAACCTGGACTCAGTATAGGAGAGTTGAGCGAAAATCATCAGTGTCTCCAAGATGACACTGAAGCATCTGCCTGCCATATGTGGGGAACACTCACGGTCACAAACATTATTTTTGCTTCAAGGGATTCCAGAAATCCAAACATTTTGATCTCTGCATTAATTGGCCCTCAGCAGCAAGTCTGTATGTCCAGATAAATTACACCCCCATTGATATGATTATGTATCTCCTGCTTAAAAACCTTGGCTGGGTGGTGGCTCAGTGGTAGAGCATTTGATTAGCATTGACAAGGTCTTGGGGTCATTCCCCAACACTGATAAATAACCTACAACCGAGCATCTATTTTGCTCTTTAGTCCCTCATCAGAATCTTTGAAAACGGAGGCTCATTGGGGGAATGATACAGGCTTTGTTCAGACTTCCCAGAAGGGGAGACTTTTTTTTTTTTAAATCGAGGCACTGCATAGCCTTGGCTGTCCTGGAACTCTTTGTAGAGCAGGCTAGCCTCACACTCACAGAGAGCTGCCTTCCTCTGCCTCCTGAATTAAAGGCATGTACCAGGAGATAATTTTTTTTTTTCTTTTTTTTTTTTTGGTTTTTCGAGACAGGGTTTCTCTGTGTAGCCCTGGCTGTCCTGGAACTAACTCTGTAGACCAGGCTGGCCTCGAACTCAGAAATCCCCTGCCTCTGCCTCCCAAGTGCTGGGATTAAAGGCATGCGCCACCACTGCCCGGCCCAGGAGATAATTTTTAAGGCTTCATTTTTTTCATTGGCTAATTTGGACCTGGTGAACTGCAGAGAGAGAGGGGCTGGATGAGAACTAGCAGTTAGGACAGGCAAGACAATTGTTTGGCTTTTGAAATGTGTTCTTTCTGTGCATCTGGGAACTTAAGAGAGGGTGGTTCACACTGCAGAGAGAACAGATTGTGGCATGCTGGCAGCTTGAGGGTTTTCCCAAGAGAACCTGAGTGCATGTGAAATCCAGGGTTACCAGTAAGAAGCAGTGACTGAGCCCAGGCAGCAGTTTTCTGCTTCCCAGTGTCCCCAGAGAAGACTTTAGTCAACTGACTGATAGAGAGAAAATGAACCAACTCCTGCTATGTCCTAAAGCTTTTTAAACACTTTCTAAATTACCTAGTGCTAAATACTGTTACTCAGTTTTAAATACGAATGCTGGGGCAGGGGACTATTGAAAAAATAGTTGATTAATATATTTGAAGTTCTGGAAGAAGAGATGAGTAAATTAGTATACCAGTTCATATACTAGTAAGGTCGTCTAGTATAAGAGTTTATTGCAGTGAGAATGTATGAAGATGGGAGTTTTGTCGTGTTATAAAAGATACAAGCTTGTCCTTTAATCTGGGTTCCAGCAGTTTTCAGCTGTGTCTCTGCCAACTCTTAGTGTTGTTTATACTGCAGTATTTCACTCTCTGTGAAGACCATGAGAAACTGAAATGAGAAAAGCCACTGATACGAACATTTGGTCAGCTCGTAGAATCCGTTAATAAAATGAGTGCGTTTCTGAAGTCAGAAAAATGAAGCTCTGCACCTGAGTGCTGAGGGCTTTCCTGTGGAGTGTGAGCACTCCTGAGCAGGGGATGTCGGATGACTCAGCATTTGGAGGGAAGGTTTCCCCCCTCCCTCCTTATGCCTGCAAAAGAATCAGCTGGTAAATGTGAAATCTACAACAGTGGAACAAACAAGTAGGTCTGATATTACAATACACACGAGCACACACACACACACACACACACACACACACACACACGATTGAACTGTGTGTTACAATTGACCGGACAAGTACAGGGCTCACTCCCAGAAGTTAAATTCTCTTTTGTCTGCATACTGCTCCGGAACAGCAGCTGCTTGTAAGACCAGGTCCTAATGCAGCTGTGAGGGTCTGCAGCAGTTTAGAAAGTCACCAAGTACCCGCTACTGCATGTGTCCGCCTCTCTAGGAATTGGTCCAAAGGCAAATTGCAATGATTGCTATTTTCTGGTCCTTCCTAGGATCCTTCCTCAAGAGAGATAAGAACTTAATGGGTCTGGAGAGATCTTGTGGGTGGGAATTTGGGACTTGTTGACCAACTAGGTGTCCCTTGGAAAGTAGGCATACCACTAGTTCCTTTGTGTTTAATGACTTGTTTTCAAATAGGGCTGTCTTCTCCCTATCTATGTGGTCTAGAAAACAGCTTCACTTCTTAAAACAGCATTCATTCTTCAGCTTCCTTCATGGGTCCTCTTGGCCTAAATGTTTTGAGTTGTTATATTTTGAGATGTTCTCCTCTTATCAGAATGTGTCAAAAAGTACCGGAAGAAGCAAATGGCCTAGTTCATTTTTTGACTTTATATAATCAGGTAAATAGAAACCTGATATACTTATTATTTAGGATGATGTGTTTCATTTTTGGCAAAGAAAAAATGATAAATTGTTCTAGGGGAGGTCCTTCCAGGGGGTGGAGGTATGAGGCTAGCAATATTATGACTTCAGATTCAAGCTGGCGTCACCATCAACCCTGTGTGCCAGGGTTAGAGGAAATCAGCTCCTTTTTTATAGTTGAATCAGCTCCTTTTTTTATTCACCATTGTTGGCACAATCCTGGAAAATAAACGTTTTTCCCTGTGGTTTTTGCCTGCTTTGTCGTGTGTGTTTATTGAACCCTTCAATGCTCTCTTGGGTCCTCCCCATGCTGTAGCATGTTAATTCGAGTAAACACTGCCATTCTGGTGAGCTCTAGGACACTTGGCCAACAGGCCTGTTGCTACTATTAAACAACAAGTGTTGCAGCCGTGGCAGCACACACCTTTAATCCCAGTACTTGGAGGGTCTTCGTGAGTTTGAGGCCACCCTGGTCTACAAATAGTTCCAGGACAGCCAGTGAAACCCTGTCTCAAAAAAGCAAAACAAAACAGAAAAAAAGTATCATTTGGCATTATTGGTAAAGTTCTTTATTCTGAGGTTATCAGGTTAACCACCTAGTCCCTTAGGAAATAGCTGAACCAGTGGGATTCTGGTGCATACGGTGGGTACTTTCCTCAGTATTTGTTTATTAAACAGCCAGTTAGGTACAAATTACAGCTTCAGAAGTCATTCTCTTGTTAGTAATAACCTAGGGTTGATACGTCCATGGTGAATAAGTCAGCACATATAAGTCTGAGACTGGATCATTTCATAGCAACAAATTGGATATCTTTTAATATAGGGCAAAGAAAAGGTCAAGTCAAGGAAAAACTGATGAGAATATAAACATTTACACTTTATATAAAACTAATACATAATAAGGAAGCTAGGCTTTCTGCCTACTTGTAATCGCAGCACCCGGAGGCTGAAGCGGATCTTGAGTGGGATACTAGGTTGGACCACTTACACTTTGAAACAAAACTCAACAAAACCCAAGTCTGTTTATGGAAATCAGCCTGTGTACTGAGACCTCCCAGCCACAAGGTGGCAGAAGAGAATGCTGTGGCTAAACAAGGTATGCGAGAGCCGCTTGACCACTCTGTGGTTCCTCCCAGAATCCTTTGAGACAAGACCGAGTGTTTAAAAGAGGGTGCAACTGCCACTTCCTCGCGAGAGGGAGCGCGGCTGGGGTTGTGGACTGTGCTGTCAGGTGTCGTGCGGCGTGTATGGTGCATGTGGGCCGAGTGCGAGTACGGATGTGCGAATGTGTGTGCGCGCGTCTGGGGCGTGGAAGGCGAGTGTGTGTGTGTCCTCCCCACGCCCCTCCCCTCGCCTACACCTTGATCTTATTTGATCGGGTCGTGACCCCCGCCCCGCCGGGCCGCCCCGAAATGAAAAGCAGCCCTCCTGCGAAGCCCCCTCGGTGGGGCGCTGTGCAGCGAGGCCCTCTGGGCGGTGGCGGCGCCGCGGTTCCCGGGGTTCCGGGGTCGGTCCTGCGGGCCCGGCGCTCAGAAGTGATGAATTGATCAGATAGACGAGGCTGGGTCCGTCCCAGCCACTGATTACCGAGGCGATTCTGATCTGAGCCCGGCCCCAGGACCCCGCCACCGGACCCTGGCTCCCGTCTGTAGCCTCGTGTGCTGCTGGAGCGCAGAGGCTCTGGGTGAGAGCCCAGAGCAGACGTCACACCACCGCTTGTAGGTGGAGGCTTTGTTCCCGCTGCAGTTTTTCTTCCCACCGAGAGCGTGTGTGTGTGTGTGTCTGTGTGTGTGTGTGTGTCTGTGTGTGTGTGTCTGGGCTTGTTTGATCTCTTTCTACTAACAGTTTCACCTAGGGCTAAAAGGTACCATGCCCCGTACAGACTGTTGAGGAATGTGTCCATTAGAGAGCATACATTTACAAACTACTAGATGCAGGGACTTGCTCCATATATAGTGAATTAGAATGGGCTGTGTGATTTAAGGCTTTAAGAGTGGATGTATTGTTTTGTCTTAAGGCGAGGTCTCTTCCTATCTCAGGCTGGGGAACTTGATAAGTAACTGAGAATAACCTTGAATTCCAGAATACCTGCCTCTACCTACAGCCACTTTATTAACACAATGAGTTAAAAGAAAACACTTGTGCAAGTGTGTGAGTCGTGTTTATAGGTGATTGTGTGCGTGTGAAGGCTTGAGGTTCGCGTCATGTCTTTTCCTACACCCCACCACCCACCCACCCACCCACACATCATTTTCTGAGGCAAAACCTCTCCTTGAATGACAAGCCAGTGGCGAAGGCACACACACACCTATTCCAGAATTACAGATGCACCCACTGGTCTTTATATGGTTTTGGAAATTTGAGAGTCTAATCCTCACCCCTGTGGCACTTTGTCTTTTGAACCACTCTCCTAGCCCTAAAGTATATTTTCTGATTATTTTGTTTTTTCTCAGGACAGGGTTTCTTTGTGTAGTCTTGGCTGTCCCGGAACTCACTCTGTAGACCAGGCTGGCCTTGAACTCAGAGCGATCCGCCTGCCTCTGACTACCAAGTGCTGGGATGACAGGTGTGTGTTGTCACCACCATCCAGCATTCTAAAATAATTTTAATTGGCACACAAATATACTTAGAGGTTTTAGGTACATTTGCACATTGTGTAATGTCTACATAAGGAAAGGGTACCCATAAAGGATACATTGTAATCACCTCACAATAGAAGTTTTCCTGCGGTGGTGGGGCACGCCTTTAATCCCAGCACTTGGGAGACAGAGGCATGTGGATTTCTGAGTTCGAGGCCAGCCTGGCCTACAGAGTGAGTTCCAGGACAGCCAGGACTACACAGAGAAACCCTGTCACGAAAAAAAAAAAGTTTTCCTAATGCACAGCAGTTGGCCAACCTATCTCCCATACCCCATCACTATTCTCCCAGCCTCTGGTAATTTACTGTTATACCGACAACCTTTAGGAGAGCAACTTGTTTAGATGTGCTCCATATGAGTAAGATTGTGTCTTTTTTTCTGTGCTTGGCTTATTTAATGGTCCTTAGTTCTGGATATGTTGCATAAAAGGATTTCATCCGTTTTTCATGGGTGTATGCTCTTCTATTGTGCTGGCTAGTTTGTTGTCAACTTTACAGAAGCTAGAGTCATCTGAAAGGATGCCCATTTGAGAGGATGGCCTTCCTAAGACTCGCTTATGGAAAAGCCTGTAAGGTATTAATCAGTGCTTGCCGGGGAGGGTTCAGCCCAATGTGGGTGGTGCTGCTTTGGGCTGGTGGCCCTGCATCCTATAAAAAGGCAGGCTGAGCATGTCGCCAGCCCCTCCATGGCTGCATCATTTCCTGCCTCCAGGAGCCTGTCCTGTGTGAGTTCCTGTCCTGACCCAGTGAAGTGTGGAAATGTCAGCCAAATCTTCTTCTTCCCAAGTTGCTTTGGTCATAGTCTTTCATCAAGCCAATGGAGATCCTATGACAGTTGTGTACGTAGAGCACAAGTCATCACACTTGCGGACATTCTACAGCTGAACTGTCTTCCCCACTTTGTTGTGTTTCTGTGTGCACGTAAGTGCTCACGGGCATGTGACCCTCAGGGTAGCCTGTGGAAGTCATTTCTCTCCACCGTGTGGGCTCCAGGGATCAAACTCAGGTTGCTGCTGGGTAATTCACCAGACACAACTGCTTAGATGTAGGTTTAAGCCAATAGAAAGTCTTTGCTAGCTGGCTAACTACTACTCTGGGTGTTCAGGATCCCAGTGTAACCTGAGCCTTTCTCAGGGTGAGCTTTTAAGTACAAAACAAAACAACAAAAACAAACAAAAGTCCTGGATTGGTCTAGTTCAGTTAACAAGAACAGTTAGCCAGAGGCAGAATTACAGAAGCCACAAAGCAAGGTTAGTACATTCAGAGACTTCCCCGGAACTATGGACTTTGATGGATTAAGTGTTTGTTTTCATTTTTGGTCGATGGTGCTGTCTACATGAGTTTTATAGCCTGAGTGACACATCCATCATGGAGTCAGTTGTGCTAAGATCTGGGGGCCCTGTTACATTTGCCAGGCTTGGCAGCAAGTGCTTTTACCTACTCAACCATCCCAGCCCATGTATCATGTTTTCTTTTATCCATTAATTCATTGGTGAAGGTTTAAATTAATTCTATTTCTTAGCTGTTGTGAATAGTGCTGCAGTAAACATGGAGAGGTGGATGTCTCTTCAAAATACCGATTTCATTTTCACAGACACGTAAGTTATAACCTGCTGGATGGATCCTATGGTTTGGCTTTGTTTCGAGACAAGATCTCTGTGCTGTAGGGTTGATATAGTCCTGTCTTGGGATCCCAAGAATATCTAGGACTTCAAACAAGCCACCAATCCTTACTGGTAGGTTTTTTTTTTTCCCTTTTTGAAATAGCCTCACTGTTATAACCTTGGCTGGCTAGGAACTCACTATGTAGACCAGGCTATCCTTGAACTCAGAGATCAGCCTGCCTCTCCAGTGATGGGATGGAAGGTGTGTGCCACCAAAGATCTGATTTTAAGCATGTGCTTTCACAGCTCCTAGTTTTTATTCAGTACTGGAAAGCAAGCCCAGAGTTTTATGCATGCTGGACAAGCACTCAACCAACAGAGTTACATCTCCAGACCTGCTACTGGTACCTGGAATTTTTGATTGTCTTAATCCTGTCCTAACTGAACTGGGGTGATATCTGTTGGTGGTTTTGGTTTGCTCTTCTCCATGATTAGTCTTTCATATACTCACTGGTCAATTCTATGTTGCCCTATATTGCCTTCTATGGCTATCATAAACACTATGACCAAAAGCAGCTTGGGAGGATAGGATTGATCTCTCACACTCATAAATCACAGCAATGGTGGAGGGAAGTCACAACAAAAGCTCAAGCAGAGCCCTGAAGGTAGGAACTGAAGCAGAGACCATGAAGGAATGCTGCTTACTGGCTTGTTCTCCAGGTATACATTCAGCCACCTTTCTTACACCTCCCAGGACTGGCTGCCCAGAGGTGGCACTGCCCACAATAGGCTGTGCCTTCCCATGTGCCACACCCTACTGGCCAGACACAGGTCTTTCATCCCAGAACTTGGAAAGCAGAGGTAGATGGATCTCTGTGTTTGAGGCCAGCCTGATCTATACAGCAAGCTCCAGAACAGCTAGAGCTACATGATAGACCCTGTCTCAAAAAATAAAATATCCTACAGATACGTCTATCTATAGACCAATCTGATGGAGGACCCCTTGAGGGTCCCACTTTCTGATGATTCTAGTTTGTGTCAAGTTCCAAAACAAAACCCCAGCACAGGGTTTTGTTTAGATTTTATGCAGGGTTTCATTCTGTAGCTCTGGCCTGGAACTCAACTGGTCTGCCTACCTCTGCCTCCCAAGTGCCAGTGTTAAAGCTATATTCCACCACAGTGGCTCCAGGGTGCTTCCTTAGCAGCCATGTTGAAGATCAATTGGTTGGAGATGTGGAGGCATTATTTCTAGGCTTTTTATTCTGCCCCATGGGTCTAGGTATCTATATTTTTGTCAATACATGCAGTTTCTATTGCTATATTTATGATGTATTATGACAGGTACCATAAGCTCAGGATTTGGCAATGATGTGAGTACATGAATGTGGATGCATGTATGGGTGTATGTACACATGTGTATGGGTGTATGTACACATGTGTATGGGTGTATGTACACATGTGTGTGGGTGTATGTACACATGTGTATGGGTGTATGTACACATGTGCATGGGTGTATGTACACATGTGCATGGGTGTATGTACACATGTGCATGGGTGTATGTACACATGTGCATGGGTGTATGTACACATGTGCATGGGTGTATGTACACATGTGTATGGGTGTATGTACACATGTGTATGGGTGTATGTACACATGTGCATGGGTGTATGTACACATGTGCATGGGTGTATGTACACATGTGTATGGGTGTATGTACACATGTGTATGGGTGTATGTACACATGTGTGTGGGTGTATGTACACATGTGTGTGGGTGTATGTACACATGTGTATGGGTGTATGTACACATGTGTATAGGGACCAGAGGCACTGTCTACTCCTCCTCCCCTTGTCTTTTTCGTCATCTTTTTTGACTGTCTTTTGTTTGTTTGTTTGTTTGTTTTTCGAGACAGGGTTTCTCTGTGTAGCCCTGGCTGTCCTGGAACTCACTCTTGTAGACCAGGCTAGCCTCGAACTCAGAAATCCGCCTGCCTCTGCCTTCCAAGTGCTGGGATTAAAGGCGTGCGCCACCACACCCCGGCTTGACTGTCTTTTGAGCCAGGGTTTCTCTGTGAAACTCTGGCTATCGTAGTTACTCACTCTGTAGACCCAGGCTATCCTCAGACTCAGAGATTGCCAGCCTCTGCTCCCCAGTGCTGGGATAAAAAGCATACACCTCCACACTCTACTTCTATTTGTTGAAAATTTATGTGTATGAGTGTTTTGCCTGCACGTATGTCTGTGTGCCACATGTATGTGGTGTCTACAGAGTCTAAGAGAGGGTATCAGATCCCCTGGAACTGGAGTTACAACTGTTAGCTGCCACAGGAGTGCTGAGAATCTAACCCTGGTCTTCCTGGGAGAGCAGCCACTGCTCTTAACCACGGAACTGCCTTTCCAGGGCCCCTTCCTCAGCTTTTTGAATGTGAGTTCTGGGATTGAACTCAGGTCCTTGGTTTTGTAAAGCGTCTTGCTACTGAGACCTCTCCTCAGCCTTATTTGGAGGTTTTTTTGTTTTTGTTTTTTGTAGTTCCGTGTGAATCATAGCATTGTCTTTCCTAGGTCTATGAAGAATGTTATTAGTGTTTTGATAGGGATTGCACTATATAAGTGGACACTTTAACAGTACTGATTCTTCCAATGCATGAACACAAGATGTCTTTGTGTGGATGTCTGTCCTTTGCAGTTTCTCAGTGCTTAAAGTTTTCATGACAGAGATCATTCACATTGTGGTTTAAATTGATCACAAATGGGATTGCTTTCTTCATTTCTTGTTCACACAATTTCCTATTAGTACACAGAAATGCTGCTTTCCCCCAGCCTTCCTTACTGAAGATCAACGAGAGCCTTGTACATACCAGGCAGTTGTTCTATCACCGAGGTACATCCCCATCCCTTTTTATTTGAGACAAGGTCTAAAATGCTGAGGCTAGCCTGAACTCATCCTATAACCCAGGAAAGCCTTGAAATTATATTTCTTGTGTCTCAGTCTCCTGGGTAGCTGGTTTACTTGCATGTTGGTTTTTATCCTGAAACTATATTGAATTTATTAGCTCTAATAGATTTAGGTAAAACTCTGATGTTTCCTACCTATAAGATCATACGTTTTCTGGGTGATAGTGGCACTCGCCTTTGATCCCAGCTCTCAAAAGGCAGTGGCAGGCAAATCTCTGAGTTTGAGGCCAGCCTGGTTTACAGAGCAAGTTCCAGGACAGCCAGGGATACACAAAGAAATCCTATCTCAAACAACAAAACAAACAAAAAAGGAAGGAAGAAAAAGAGAGGAAAGAAGGAAGAGAAAGAAAAGAAAAAGATCATGCCTTTTGCATCCAATGACAGTTGAATTTTCTACTGCCCACCCTGACCACCCACCCCGACACCACCTGTGGGGTGCTGGGCTGGGAGAAGCAGCTGGGTGCCTGGTTGAGCAAGTCTTGAACCCCCGACCTTTATCAGGATGACAGGTGTTCGGCTCTGCCCCCAGGCCCTGGTTCTTTTCATTCAGCTTCAGCCCTCCACAGCCCCTCCCAAAGAGAGGTCTATGACCATCAGTCACGAGGAACAGTGCCTCAGGCTCTCCCACATGTAGGTGAGGTATCTCCAAGCTCTCAGACCAAGCCAATAGGCATTATCTGCTGCCAGACACTAACCCACCCTGAAAATGTGTATAAGGGCTCTATTCAGGAGAAGTAAAGGTGTGTTCAAGAATCATCCTGGTGTCCGAGAGTTTCTGTATCAAGAGCTGTAACACTTGGGGAAAGATCTGCTCTCCTGGAGCCAGCTAGGTGGCTTCCTATCAGCCCAGCCTGGACCAGCTCAGCGCAGAGAGACAGGTGCAGCACCTGGGAGTGACTGCAGAGACTCGAGCAGAGGCAGCAATGGGAGCAGGCAATCTCTTCTACCTGCTTGCATTCTGTACCCTTTGGCCCAGACCTCTCACACCAGGCCGGGCTGGAGACCAACAGACAGTGGAGACGCCGGTGGAGGCAGTGGCAGAGACAGTAGCAGACCCTCCCTGCTCTCACTCTGTCCTCACCCAGGAGATCATTGTGGGACACCCTCCACAACGGGGACCCACAACCACCCACCCTGACACCACCCAGTTTGGATGCTCTTCATTCCTCCTGGCTTTCTCTTGCTAGGATGTCAGCATCATACCAAATATAAATGGTGAAAGTGGACATCCTTCCCTAGTCCAAGATCTTAGAGGGAAAGTTTTCAGGTATCTCCTATTTGGTAAAATATGGAGAGTGGGCTTGTGATATATAAACTTGATGTTGGGTCATATCCTTCATCTTACTTAGGTTACTATTGCTGTGATAACACAGCATGACCAAAACAACTTGAGAAGGAAAGGGTTTATTCAGCTTAACTTCCACTGCACTGCTCATCCTTGAAGGAAGTCAGGACTGAAACTCAAACAGGGCAGGATCCTGGAATCAAGAGCTGATGCAGAGGCCATGGGGAGATGCTGTCTTGCTCTCATGGCTTGCTTTCTTCTAGAACCCAGGACCAATAGTCCAAGGATAGAGCTACTTGGACACCCACCATGGGCAGAGCCCTCCTTCATCAATCACTAATTAAGGAAATGTCTTACAGCTGGATTTTATGGAGGCATTTTCTCAGTTGAAGTTTCTACCTTTCAGATGACTCTAGTTTGTGTCAAGTTAACATAAAACCAGCCAGGACATCCTTCCACACTTGATTTCTTCCATTTTTATCTTGAGGGGATGTTGAATTTTATCAAATGCCTTCCCCATCTGGTGAGATGATCAAATGAGTTTTATCTTTCAGTCTGTTGACATGCTGTTTCCTGTTTATTGGTTTTCACATATTGAACTGTCGTCCTTGGTATGAACCTCGTTTGATCACAGAACATAATCCTTTTAATGAGCCACTGGGCTTGGTTAGTACCTTGCTAAGTTTTTTATGCTTGCCTCATTAATGTTCCATTGCTGTGAAGAGACACCATAACTAAGTAACCAAGGCAACTTTTTAAAGGAAACGTTTAATTGAAATATTGCTTGAAGCTTCAGAGGGTTAGTCCATGAGCATCAAGGGAAGGAAGGAGCGTGGCAGCAGGCAGGCACGGTGCTGGAGCATAGCTGAGAGCTTACATCAGATCCACAAGTTAGAAGCAGAGAAAGACATGAGACTAAGCCTGGTGTGAGCTTTTGAAACCTCAAAGCCACTCCCAGGGACACACCTCCTAATTCTTTCAGACCAGTTTCTCCAACTGGGAAACATTCAAATATATGAGCCTAGCTGGAAGAGATGGTGCACACACACCCTTAAACCCAGCTTGTCTTTTTCAAACTACCATAATGTTTCCTGTAAATATAGGCCTTTCCTTTTTCCTGATTTTTAAAAAAAATGTGTTTAAGTAATTGTGAGTGTGTGTGTGTAAGGGTGTTTGTGTGTGTGTAAGGGTGTTTGTGTGTGTAATGTGTATTTAAGTGTGCATAAGTGTGTGAATGTGTGAGCGTATGTGTGTGAGAACATTGTGGGTGTGTATGTATAAGTGTGTGTGTGTATAAGTATATGTATGTCTTTATCTGGTTTTGGTATCAGCTAATACTGCCTGAGTAAAGAGATTATAAGAATTGCTTCTTGTTCAAATTTTCAGAATAATGTTAAGATTTTATTTAGATGGTGCATCATATAAGATATCTCAGGCTGGCCTCAAACTCATTATATAACCAAGGATGACCATGAATTCCTGATATCCGTGCCTCAGACTCCCAAATGTGGAAACTTCATATTGTTACATGGCAGCAAATACTATCTGAGGAGACTGGAAGGTTTCAATATAAAGGGATATAGCAGTTCCTGGAAGAACCCCCTTTGTATTTGAGTTATAAAATAATACCGTTAGCCTTAATTAGAAATGGGACTTGATAGTACAATAATTTTTGTTTGCTTAAATACTTTTTTTTTTTTTTTTTAGGTTTTTCAAGACAGGGTTTCTCTGTGTAGCCCTGGTTGTCCTGGAACTCAATCTGTAGACCAGGCTGGCCTTGAACTCAGAAATCCACCTGCCTCTGCCTCCCAAGCGCTGGGATTAAAGGCGTGCACCACCACCACCCGGCTGCTTACTTTTGAGACAATGTTTATGTAACTCAGGCTGGCTTTGGGCTAGCAATTCCTCTGTCTCTACCTGCTGGGTGTTGGGTTAAAGCTTTATCCCACTATACATCCCTTATGGTGCAATAGTCAAAAGGTCGTTGGGCCATTTCTTGCTCAATCTTTTTTTTTTTTTTTTGACAACAGGTTCTTATCAGTGCCTTTTAATTTTTTAATTGTTCTCCTTTTGTGCATATTTGTGCAGATTCACATGCCCCTGTGTGTACACCTGTGGAGGTCAGAGGTTGAAGTTGAGTGTCTTCCTCTATCTCTGCCTGACTTTTGTTTGTTTGTTTGTTTGTTTGTTTGTTTGAGACAGGGTTTCTCACAGAGCCTGGAACTCAGTTAATGTAGCCAAACTGGTGGCTGGCAAGCCCCTCGGATGTGCCTGTTTCCCTTATCTCTGCCTGCATAGCCCCAGACTTACAGATGTGCTGGGGATCCAAACCTCAGGCCCTCAGCTTGCACAGCAAGCATGTCATCCACTGAGCCATTCCCCCAACCCCATGCCATGAAATTCTGCATCAAATTTCAGGGACCTTGAAATCTGAACACCAAGTTTTTGAATGACGATTATGAGAATTGGGTCCATATGCCACACGCAAAATTAACACAGAAGGGACAGTTGACTTCCAGAAAGTGACAGAGTCAGAGCTGAATGGTGGCAAGGAATAGGGCCAGGAAAACGGAGCTCTCGAAGAAATGACGAAATCCAAGAGGCCTCTAATCTATTAATGTGATGTTAGCAGTTAGCTGTGGAGTGTGGAGTGTCATAGTGATAACTTGCTCATTACAAGAACAGGCTGTGTCTATTCCCTGTTTCCTTGACTCTTAGTGGCAAATGTGCCGAATGTGGCTCTGTGTAGCTGTGACTTTAGTTTGAACACTTGTACACTAAATACTTGTGTCCCATCCAAACCAGTGTGCTTCTGTCCTTATATCTGGCAAAAAGACTTCCCAGGGCACAATTTATCCCATAGAACTAGTTTCTAGAATTGGGGGATTTTTTTTTTTCCTTTTAAGAACAGTCAAAAATGCCCTGGGCAGCAGACACATCAGGCTTCATCTTGAACAAACCTATTTAATGAAGATGGGTTGGATGTTCCACCACGTTGAAATTAACCCAGTTGTCACCACTAGGTGGAGAAGAAGCCACCATCATTTTTCCGGGAGTAACCTCCGTTGGTGGCTGCAGTGTGAGGAGACACTGTGAAGAAAAGAGAACAGGGTGAGCTGGAATTTCAGACCCTTTGCCCAGCCCCCCTTTTATCCTTTAATCAATTCATTTATCGATGCCATAAGAAAATTCTTGTTAAGGTAGGAAACTGAGATATGACGGACTGATGGAGGTGAACCAAGGTCTTCACTTCCACATTCATGTCCAGTGCCTGCTCGGTCAAAATCCCACCTAGACTTAATCTAAAGAATGGAATCCCCCAGTTCTACTGTCAGCAGGTCCCCTAGTATTAGTCTGGTAGGTGACAGCCTACCCTCTATAGTCTCTGAGCTTTCCCATTGGCCAGTAACCACCAGCCTCTGATCCCAGCCACTCTCTAGCAACCCCACCGCTGCCACCACGAGCCCACCCCGTCATCTAATCCTCACCTATGGATCCTTGAATGCTATGGATGGATTCTTTCTTAGGGTTGATCCAGTGCCTGATGGTAGTCCGGGAAGTAATGGGGGCTGGAGGAGAGTGGAAACATTCTCCAGGAAACTTGGGTCTAGACAATGGTGGAAAGAGAGCAGAGGAGAGAGTCAATCAGAAAGGAGGTGGTGAGAGAGGAAACATGATTCCATAAGACCTCAAGGGCCCCATTGCTCTTCTAGAATCATCAAAGCATGTGTTTGTTTAGCTACATGACCTTAACTGGACAGAGATAAACTATCGAGATGAGGACCTCTGCTCATGTTTTAAAAATGAAATATAGAAATGAGGGCTGAGGATGTAGCTCCACGGTACACAGCACCGGCCTGGCAAGCATGAGACCCTAGGTTCGATGCCCAGCCTAGCATGCATGAGACCCTAGGTTCGAAACCCAGCCTAGCATGCATGAGACCCTAGGTTCCATCCCCAGCTTAGCATGCATGAGACCCTAGGTTCGAAACCCAGCCTAGCGTGCGTGAGACCCTAGGTTCAAAACCCAGCATAGTTAAAACAAAGACAAAAAACAAACTACGTTGCAGATAAAAAAAAAAAAAAGCAAACAAAACCCCTCAAAACAAGCAACTGTGTACTTGTTCACAGCACCAGGAGGCATCTTCCTTATGTAATTGCTTCAGTGCATCCTTAGGGTAGAGGGCTTTGCCTCCATCACTTACCCCTGGATATCCTCAATCGTCTCCTGGTGTAACAGTATCTCAGTTTTGTTCTTGAATGCCCCAGTGTGGTGGTCATACAAGGCTGCTAAGCGGAAATCCAGATCATCCTTCGGTATCTGTAGAGGAATCAGTCTTCCCATAGTTAACTTGGCTGTTCTGTGCCTTGACTCTCCTCAGATTGTATCCAGCTATTGTACTCAGATCAGATTCAGCTCTCCTATTCCCCAGATGCCCACCAGCTCTTAACACCGCATTGTGCACGATGAGGCTTCTTGTCAATAGGAGGGGTCTCTTTTGGTTAAGACTACGTTACTGGTGCCATGGAAAAATTGTCTTTGATTTGGGTTTAATAACCCCTACCTCGTTTACAGTTATATTCAGCCTTTGAAGGTTTTTTTGTTGGTTTATTTTTATTTTTTTGAGACAGGGTTTCTCTGTGTAGCTCTGGCTGTCCTGGAGCTTTCTCTGTAGACCAGGCTGGCTTCTAATTCAGAGATCTGTCTACCTCTGCCTCCCAAGTGCTGGGATTAAAAGTGTCCACCACCACAGCCTGGAGAAGCCTTTGATTTGATACAGTGTGTGAGAAGAAATTTGATAAAAATGATTTGGACCAAGCCTTGTGACTTACTAGGTTGGTTTTTAGATGGTAAGATTTTGAATTGGGAACAAAAGGGAAGCTGCTGAGGCCCTTCAGACTATCTTTAGAAAAGGATATGAATGGCAGGTGTGCTGGCATGTGCCTGTAATCCCAGTACTTAGGAGTTTAAAACAGGAGGGATTGAGAGTTCCAGGCCAGTCTGGTTAAATACTAAGTTTGAGGTCAGCTTTGGCTATGTAGCAAGGCTCTGTCTTAAAAAACAAACAAATGAAAAGAAAATAAATTTATTAAGGTCTAAAGAGATGCAAAAGGAAATAGTATCTCGTATTTCAATGCTAAGTACCTTAGGATCAAAAAAGTAGGCATCTCGCCTTATGGACGTGACTGTGGGGGTTGAGCTGAGCCGACTCCAGGGATCTTGCTGCTGCGCCATGTGGGTCGGGTTCTTATATGGCGATTTCTGCAAGAGAAACCACACGCAGGAGCTGGTTAGCAGACACCTTGCAGTGTGGGTCACGTTCATCACTGTGCTTCATGCTATTGTATGCAGAGGCACAGCAGCTCCCCGGGCTTTCTGAGTGAGAAATCAGTGAGAAATCATTGAAATGGGCTATGGAAACCGGTGGATCAGGATCCTGGAAACAAAGAGGGGGGGCTCAGGGAACAGGGCTTAAGGATGATGTGGTCATGTTTAGAAGTCCCAAGTTTGGACTTTCTAATTAGCAGAGAACTGGAAGTGTATGGCTAACTAGAGAGCTGGAAACAAACAAGATACACCAAGTTGTCCACCTGCAGAAAAAAACTCGGCCAAAAGGCTCTGTGAGGACAGTATTTTCACTAGGACAAGATAGGATCCATGAGTGGCAATGGGGAAAAAAGAATGCGTGCTGTCTAGGTGGGAAAAAGGCTATGCAAGGAAGAATAACTCACAGAGGAAAGGAACATTAGAAAAGTGGTCTTTGGACACTCAGTACTGTAAACCCCACAGACATAAGTGAGAAAAACTGTTGATTTTTCTTGTATATAAAAATGAATACTTTCGGTGGCTGGAGAGATGGCTCAGTGATTAAGAGCACTGACTGCTCTTCCAGAAGTTCTGAGTTCAATTCCCAGCAACCACATGGTGGCTCACAACCATCTGTAATGGGATCTAATGCCTTCTTCTGGTGTGTCTGAAGACAGCTGCACTGTACTCATATACATAAAATAAAATAAAATAAAATAAAAATAAAATAAATAAATCTTAACAAAATAATGAATACTTTCACCACTATGTGTGTCCTCAGTACCAAGTACATTGGCCTAACACAAGTATTTAAAAACTATGGCCTGATCAAACCAGTGACCGAATTCTAGTGAGCATCCTGTCTAGCCTCCTCTCCTTCCATGTAGCAAACTGCTGTGTGGTTTAACTCAGATAAATCTTAGTTGACCGGCAGGATCGGACAAATATGTAAAATATGTATATGTGATGCAAATACAGGTTCAGCTACTGTGTTTGCTCTGCTGTGTCTCTGAGCGGCTCTGCCACATTTCTTAAAAGCTATACAAGGCTCAACGTTTTCTCTATTGGCACAAGGAGATTGCCTTTCAGTAAGGCCAGCTGGTGGTGGTGCACGCCTTTGGGAGGCGGAGGCAGGTCTCTGAATTAGAAGTCATCCTGGTCTACATAGCAAGTTCCAGGACAACCAGGACTACATAGAGAAACCCTGTCTTCTTCAAGACCAAAACCAAACACCACCAACAAAATCAAAGGCTGAATATGAGTATGAACGAGAGGAGGCAGAGGCAGGTGGATCTCTGAGTTTGAGGACAGCCTGGTCTACAGATGAGTTCTAGGTCTACACAGAGAAACCCCATCCAAAACAAAAACAAACAGAAACAACCAACTATCAACACTGACACCAGTCAGCAGACCCTCTCTCCTTTGATCACAGGAAGAAGTCCTTTCACTCAGGAGAAAGCTTCTCTAGACCTAGCCCTTCCCTGTCCTTTCCATCTGTACCATTCCCCACCCCCTCATTTGGGCCTACCTTAACTGCTAAGCCATCTCTCCAGTCCCTCATGTCTAAATCTTTTTTTTCTTTTTTCTTTTTTTTTTTTCCTTTTTGGATTTTTCAAGACAGGGTTTCTCTGTGTAGCCCTGGCTGTCCTGGAACTCACTCTGTAGACCAGGGCAGCCTCGAACTCAGAAATCTGCCTGCCTCTGCCTCCCAAGTGCTGGGACTAAAGGCGTGCGCCACCACTGCCCAGCATGTCTAATTCTTATACTCACAGGATAGGCTGCTTTTCTACTACAATTTTAAACAGCACATAAGCTGTGTAGCTCCCAGATATACATCTTCGACCTTAACTTCTCAAGCCTGCATATCACACAATCATGTAAAGATTTCACAAAAGCATCTACACACTTGATTTCAACATCTTTCTGTTCAAATCTACTTCCTTGGGATGCTCCATCTCAGTGATGGTGTCAATTGAACCCTCAGAAACCCAGGAGTCTATTTTGTATTTATCCATTTTCTTTAGCCCATATTGAGTCAGCCATTAGATCCCACTGCCTGGTCCTCTGCATCCTTCTCAAACTCACATCTTATCGTCTGTCTCTGACGTCAGTTACTCTTCTCCAGGACTTCTGCACCTGCTTCCCAGCTGACTACTGCACCTGCTTCCCAGCTGACT